CCCTGCATGCCCTCCTCCCCAGTTCCCGCGCCCCTCCCCCCTGTTTCCTTCGCCCCCCCCCGCGCGACGAGGACGGCAGGGAGATGCTGAACCAGTGCTTCTACCTCTCCATCGCCCGCTCCTACCTCGGACCGCACGTGGAGCCCCAGGACCAGAAGGGGGGGCGCCCGCGTCGGCCTCCTCCGCCGCTCCCCTCGCCGCGGTGTCCCCGCTCTCGCGCCTGCCCTCTTCCTCGGCGTCGCCCGAGGGTCGGAGGCCGCGGGCTGATGATCGAGGTCTTGACGTTTCCGGTCCAGGGGTGCGTGGCACCCAGCTTTCCCCTGGTACGGGAGGAGCACTTTAATCCAACCGTGCAGTGGTTACCGGGCCGGGGGTGATCAGCATTTATCATTCCCCAGGAATGATAAAACAACGATAACAACAGCAACAACATCAACAACGGCGACGACACTCATGTTAAACTTGTTCGCTCTTATCTGCTCGTGTGCCATTCAACACGTATTCCCCGTACCCTAGATACCCGCCCTCTTCGTCTTCGATCGTGCCCCCTTGGGGATGTATATTGAATCGCTTCGCTCATTCCGCCGGCCCGTGATATGGCATCGCTGGTTTTTGTCTGTGTGTTCGTTGCCCATGTTGCGCTCTTGGGGGCGGGTGTCGTTCGGACGCGTTGCGTGGGGAGTTTTGATGGTGAAGCAGTTCCCTGGGGGTCGTCTCTCGATGGGGCGAAATAGAGTCGTCGTCAAGATGCTTCTTTGGGGGGCCTCTTGGGGTCTGTTGAGAGGCCGTTCGGGGGCGCCTGGGAGACATGTTTGAAGCCTTCTGGGGCTTCTTTTGGGCCTCCTGGGAGTCTCCTGGGGCCTCTTGGCGACATCTTGGGGCCTCTTGGAGGCCTCTTGGGGCCTCTTTGGGACCTCCTGGGCGCCTTCTGGGACGGAGGGCTCCATTTTTGAGTTCTCGGTATCCCTCCTGAGTCCCTCTTGGGCCCGTCTTGGGGCCTCTTGGTCCGTCTTGGGCGGCACTTGGGCCGTCTTGAGGGCTCTCTTGGGTCGTTTCGGCGCCGTCTTGGGAGCTTCGTGGGCCGTCTTGGAGCGGTCTTGGGGGCCTCTTGGGCCGTCTTGGAGCGTCCGGAAGCCGAAAAAGCCAGAACACAAAAAACGTAGAAAAAACCAATGACAATCAACGATTTTGGCCTCTTGGGCGCGCTCTGGGGAGCCTGAGAGGCCGCACCCAGAAGGAAAACCATCTCTGAGTAGACTTGGTCGGGCGGCGGTCGGGCGGCGACCCTTGGGGATGTATATTTTTCACCTGCGACGTGTACTTCCTGCAGCACCTGAGGCAGGGTAAGAGTGGACGGATGGAAGGAAGGGACAATGGGGACGGAGGAGGATGGAGCACGAGATAGAGTAGCAGGAGGGGGGCTAGGAGCAGAACACACGTGGCAGAACCAGACCCGTTGACCGGGCGGGTAGACCCTAACAGGCGGGTCGGGAAGGCGGGCCGACACGGCCAGGCCGAGCAGGCGGATTGCTGAAGTGTGCGTCCTGCATGAATCGCGAGGACGTCTCGAGCGATAACACGATCCCCAACAAAACCGCAAGGAAATCAACAGCGAGAGTGTGATTTGTTGGGTGTCGAGGGCGTGGCGTCTGAATACATTGCGAGGAGGTTCCACGCGAGAGGGCGACTCCTGCAGAATTGTGAGGACGTCCCGCGCGAGAGTGCGATGTGGGAATACTGTGTGAGGAAATATCAAGCGGGAGCCGTTGTTGTTGCTGTACTCCTGGGGCCAACAACATGGTTATGATCTTCAAAATTTTGCCAGACAGAACAACAAGGTGTGAGCCCCAGGAAGGGCACTTCAATTGAAGATCACAATGTGCCCCGGAGTGGGGACACACGCTAGTTATTCTTTAGAAGTGAGAGCTCCACAACACCAACACCAACACCAACACCAACACCAACACCAACACCAACACCAACACCAACACCAACACCAACACCAACACCAACACCAACACCAACACCAACACCAACACCAACACCAACACCAACACCAACACCAACCAACACCAACACCAAGACCAAGACCAAGACCAACACCAACACCAACACCAACGACAACGACAACGACAACGACAACAGCAACAATCATTTTGAAACTGTTCGCTCTCTTGCGCTCGCGCAGCATTCAACACGTATGTCCCAAACTCCTGATACCCGCCCTCTTCGTCTTCGGTCGTACCCCACTTGGGGATCTATCCTTTTACCTGCAACATGTATGTTATTCAGCCCCTACGGTCGGGGACGAGAGGACGGATGGAAGGAAGGGACAAGGGGTAGCGAGGAGGACGGATGGTGGGGGAGAGAGAGAGAGAGAGAGAGAGAGAGAGAGAGAGAGAGAAAGAGTAGCAGGTGGGGGTAGGAGCAGAAACCAAGTGCAGAACCAGACGGGCAGATCGGGCGGGTAGACCCTAACAGGCGGGTCGGGAAGGCGAGCCGAAACGGCCAGGTCGAGCAGGCGGATTGCTGAAGTGTGCGTCCTGCATGAATCGCGAGGACGTCTCGAGCGATAGCGCGTTTCCCAAAGACGTTTTGAGGAAATCCGCAGCGAGAGCATGATTCCTGAGTGTCGAGGGCGCGGCGTTTGAATAACCTTTGAGGAAGTCCCACGCGAGAGCGCGGTTCCAGTATACACTGCGAGGACGTCTCGCGCGAGAACGCGATTTTAGGATACATTGTGAGGAAGTATTCGGCGGGAGCCGTTTTTGTGCTTGTTGTTGTGGATCGGGGGCGTTCACTAGTTGAACAGAGGTGCGGGCCCCGAGAGAATAATGTTATTTGAATCGTGCAATGGTTACCGCGCAGGGGGATCAACAATCATTATCTTCGGCATGAGAACTCAGCAGCAACAGTAACAATCATTTTAAGTTTGCGCGCTCTTATCTGCGCGTGTGCCATTCACCACGTATATCCCAAATCCTCGATACCCGCCCTCTTCGTCTTCGATCGTGCCCCTTGGGGGTAGGTATTTCTTACATGCAGCGTGTTTTTCTTACAATTCCTACGGCAGGGGAAGAGAGGACGGATGGAAGCATGGGACATGGGGGAGGGAGGAGGATTCATTACGACAAAGAGTAGCAGGAGGGGGGCTAGGAACAGAAAGCACGTGGCAAAATCAGACGAGCTGATCGGGCGGTCGAGCAGGCGGGTTGCTGAAGCGTGCGTCCTGCATGAATCGCGAGTCTCGAGCGATAGCGCGATTCCCAAGCAGATCGTGACATCGGCAAAAGCGAGAGCGTGATTCTTGAGTGTCGAGGGCGCGGCGTCCGAATCAACTGCGAGGAAGTCCCACGCGAGAGCGCGATTTCTGCATAAGCTTTGGGGACGTCCCTCGCAAGAGTGCGATTTGGGAACGCATTGTGAGGAAGTGTTCGGCGGGAGCCGTCGTTGCTTTAAATCGGAGGCCAAGGGCCTAATTCTGGTACCCAAGACTTTCCCTGGGGTGCGAGCCCGGGGCAAGGCACTTCAGAGTGACGGAATACAAAGTGCCCCGGAGGGGGCGCCAACAACACTTGCTCTCCAGGAGTGCGAAGCTAACGACGTCAACAACGACAGCGACGACGACAACGACAGTACAACGCACACAACAACAGCAGCAGCAACAGCAACACCACCACTAATACCAACAACAGCAGCAACAACAATACCAGCACCAACACCAACATCAGCAAACTGCTGAAGACTGTTCGCTCTTATCGGCTCGCGGGCCACTCAACACGTATATTCTCAACCCTCGATGTTCGCCTTCTTCGTCTTCGATCGAACCCTCTTGGGTGTATTTACCTTCTACCTGCGACGTGTTTCATGCAGCCCTTACGGCAGGAGAAGACAGGACGGATGGAAGAAAGGGACAAGGGGGGGAGGGAGGCGGATGGAGCACGACAGAGAATAGCAGTGAGGGGGGGCCAGGAGCAGAAACCACGTGGCAGAACCAGACGGGCTGATCGGGCGGGTAGACCTGACGTGCGGGTCGGGCAGGCGGGCCCAAGCGGCCAGGTCGAACAGGCGGGTTGCTGAAGCCTACGTCCTGTGTGGATCGCGAGGAAGCCTCGAGCGATAGCGCGATTCCCAAGTACATCATGAGGAAATCCACGGCGAGAGCGTGACTCTGGAGTGTCGAGGTCGCGGCGTTTGAATACATTGGTCCCACGCGAGAGCGCGATTCCTGGGTCCCACGCGAGAGCGCGATTCCTGCATCCATTGTGAGGAAGTCCCGCGCGAGATCGCGATTGGGAAACACATCGTGAGGAACTATTTGGCGGGAGCCGTTGTTGTTGTTGCCGCTGCTGCGGCTGTTGCTGCTGCTGCTGCTGCTGTTGTTGTTGTTGGTGTTGTTGTTGTTGTTGTTCTTGTTGTTGTTGTAAACTGGGGGGCAGCAGCAAAACAGTTTGGCGACACTTCGCTTTCCCTTGTACAAGGCAGGATGAGAGAAACACGAACATGGTCCTTTGGGAAAGGAGTAGTAATACTTCTTGGTTAGAAGCGAGAACTCAACAGCAACAGCAACAGCAACAACACCACCACTAACAACGTCAGTTTTTTTAGACCGTTCGCTCTTATCTGTTTGCGTGCCACTCAGTCCTATACCAAGCACCCGATACCCGCCCACTTCGTGTACGGTCGTGCCCCTTTTGGGGTCGATGCTTTTACCTGCAACGTGTGTTTCGTGCAACCCCTCAGGCAGGGAAAGACAGGACGGAGGAAAGAAGAGACAATGGCGGAGGGAGGAGGATGGAACACGACAGAGAATAGCAGGGGGGGGGCCAAGAGCAGAAAACACGTGGCAGAACCAGACTGGCTGATCGGGCGGGTAGACCCTAACGGGCGGGCCTGGAAGGTGGGCCCAGGCGGCCAGGTCGAGCAGGCGGGTTGCTGAAGCGTGCGTCCTGAATGATTCGCGAGGAAGTCTCGAGCGGTAGCGCGGCTCCCAAGTACACCATGAGGACATCCACAGCGAGAGCGTGATTCCTGAGTGTAGAGGGCGCGGCGTCTGAATCAATTACGAGGAAGTCTCGCGCAAAAGCTCGATTTATGCATACACTGTGAGGACGTCCCACGCGAGAGCGCGATTTGGGAATACATTGTGAGGAAATGCCAGGC